GGTCGCGACCGCGACACAGAGGCTAACAGACATGTTGCCAGGGCGTCGCGGGCGTGATGGTTGTCGCGGTCGCGACACTGGCGATGACAGATCTGTTGCCAGGGCGTCGCGGCCGGGATGAACGTCCAACCCGCGACAAGTGACTTTTTTTTTATGAGAACGAACGTACATCAGTTATTTCATACAACGACTATACATTCGTTATATTGAAATAGGTATATGTCACGATCGTGACTTGTGTTGCGGACGCGACACTGGGACCTCTCTAGAATGGACAGAGAAAGTTGTCCCAGTGTCGCGGCCGCGATAAGTAATTCTTTTTTTTTTTCCAAAATAACGAATTGTTCATTTGCTATTTTTTAAACGGCTTGTAATCGGTTCCTCGACTTATTTTTGGGAACTCGGCATCGAACCCTTCATTATTTATTACATTACAACTTCTCGTTACAGAAATATTTTAACCATTTTGATTAAAAACTATTATAATTACTGCATTTGGAAGTACGTATAAAACCATTGCATTGAATAACACATGAAAAAATAATACAACAATGTATTATCCAAAAGATCCATACAATTCGTTACATAATAAATGTTTAAAACAAACTATGGATCAAAATGAGCACCAAATATCTCAGCGGCTAGTTTTTCACGCCAAGCACTAATCCGAGATTGATCTACGTCTTCAACATTCTTCCCAGTATACAAAATTTCTATAAACTTGATTGTAAACATTCCACAATCAAACCTGCACTATAAATATACATATTCTATTACTTTACCAAGTTTCATAATACAGATAAAAACCTAATATGATCAAAATATATATTATACGTACTCATGCACCTCTCATACATGTACCATCCTTAAAATATTTCATTCTAACAAGGTCAAATACTACTCAACATGCATCTCTCTTACAAATTGAAACTTAGAGAAGAATAACCTACGACACAATGCTAAAATCCTTAAATACTAACATCAATTCAAGAGATACACCATACATGTATACATTGCGAACAAAACAATAGGAAGCATGACAATTTACCCCTTTTTTTTATATTTTTAACAAAGACGATTTTAAGATAAAGGAACACTTTGGATACTAGGTTCTAAAAGCCACAACAAATCCTTAGCACAACATACTGACATAGAGTCAAGGCAAAAACCCATTCCTTTTCTTTTCTTATCTTAGGCCAATATTTTTCAAACTTTATCCAATAGGTCAAGACCAATATTCCTATAACGAATGTACATTCGTTATATATTACGTTACAAACATAGAAGTCTCGTTATTTTTAGTTGATCAACTCAATCCTACAATCATTTCATCAAGCACATAGAGTTCACCTTACAAGCATTTCATCAAACACATAAAGTGCACCAATTCACCAACTCAATCCTACAAGCATTTCGACAATTAACCTCACTTTCATGCATAACACATATTAAATAATTACCCAACTTTCATCTCTTTAAACTCAATACACTATAAAATAACCACAATATCAAAAAATTCTTCTTCAACATCATTCTTTTTCTTCTTCAATTAACACATAACACATAAATTTATTTTTCTTCTTCAACTTAATAAAATAATTTTAAACACAA